CCAGGGGATCTGACAGCCTCTTCTGACCTCTGCAGGCACTGCATGACACAGATGCACTTACCTACACACAAGCAATACAAGCATACACATAAAATAAAAATAATAAAATTTTAAAAATTAAAATTAAAAAAAATTTTTTTTGAGAGAGAAGAGATAGAAGGATAATAATACTCAAGAGGATGGGACACACTTACTTAGCAACCTTTGCTTGTGTGTGTGCCTGACATTCATCTTGGTACTTGGCTACCTGCTCTGGCATTGCCCTGCTAATGGCTTCCTTGAGCTTCTGGAGAGGCTCCTTCAGGCGCCCACCCTGCAAAGAACAGAATATAGTACAAATCTGGCTTGCATACCACTTTCACACTCTCAACCCATAACAGGCCATCAAAAGGAAGCAGCACAGCAACTGTAGGTATTATGCAGACTCAGCCACTGTGGTGGTTTGAATGAGAATGTCCCCCATAGGCTCCAAGTATTTGGACATTTTGTCCCCTGTTGGTGGGCCTGTTTTGAGAGATCTTAGAAGGTGTGGACATGCTGGAGGAAGCACATAACTGGGGGTGGCTTAGAGAGTTCCTAAACCTTGTCAGATCTCAAGTCACTCTTTTGCTTCCTGTGCCCGCTTGAAGATGTGAACTCTCTGCTTTCTGTTCCTGTTCCAGCCACCTCCTACCACCATGCCTCCCCGCCATGACTTACTGTAATTTCCCTGGAACCATAAGCTCAAATAAACTCTTCCTTCTGTAAGTTGCTTTGGTTAGTGTTTCTATCACAGCAACAGAAAAGTGTCTAATACAGTCACCCACCTGTTCATAGAGGTGAAGTTTCCGAGCACGTTTGACTAGAGCATCCTTGCTGCAGGGCAGGAATGAAGCCAGATAAGCATACACCCCAGAACGGATCTGGCTAGTCAGCTCTCGAGTTTGTACCTCTATGCTGAAGAACAGAACACAGTCATCAATGGCCTGAAGCTTGCTGCAGCTTCTCTCTTCCTTAGGTTACCCAACATAGAGAGGAAAACTAGGCACAAAAAGTAGGTTGAACCTTATCTTGATGGTCACACAACGCAATCAAGAGGCCACAGCAACACATCTTTAGCAGCAACAAACAAGAATAATTCTCAAGCTCAATGAACATGGCTAGGAAAAGCGAGTCAAAGCTCTCAGGTCAAGAACAAGACCAAGTCAAAGATAGCGAAGAGAGCCCAAAACAAATAGCTATGAGTATTAAATTTCATAAACAAAGAAAATATAAAAGCTTTCAAAATGAAAGTAATGAGTTACTTGGGGTTGGCAGGAAATACTTTCTGGCATTATTTTTTTTTTTTCAGTTCCCAATTCTATGAAATCAGGTAAATCCTTACCTCTCTAGTTTCCCCAGCTGGACAAACAGAAAAATATTTTTTTCTGAGCTTTCTCTATGTGGAATACTCAAGTGGGTTCCTGTTGACACAAATCCCTCACCCACACTGACCCTCAGGTGCTCTTTGTGGCTTTGTGCTTCCTGACCCAAGGGGCTCATCCATAACCTGTTCAATGGAGACCATCTGTAAAAATACTCTCAAGTCTTCACAACTGTTTTTTTTTTTTTTTTTTTTTTTCCGTCCCAGCTGTCCTGGAACTCAGAGAGATCCACCTGCCTCCCTCCCAAGTGCTGGGATTAAAGATGTGCACCACCACTCCTGGCCATGATAACTGTTCTTACCGATGCAAAATCCCCTGTTGTTAAACAGCATGCTTTTCCTATTACTTAATGTAACCAAGGGAAAAACTGCAATGCTGGGGAACCAGGCATGGGATTTGGTTTACATCAGTATGCTTGCTGCTGTGTTTCCAAGTGCCTTGGATGTTTGGGCTCTGGGTATAGTATGAAGGGATGAGGTGTACTGGCAGCACAAGTGACAACAAGGACACTGAGGGTACACCAATGCAGAGCAGGCCCTGATGATCAGATTTTCACTCATTCATCTGGATTCTTTTCATCTCATACTTGCCAAGAAATCCTCTTCCAAAAAGCTATGAACACACATAAATCTATACATAAATTTAATGTTTCACACACACACACACACACACACACACACACACACACACACAAACTACAGCATTTTAATACTGCCTCGAGGCTGAAGATACTAAGGTCTATCATGAAGACAGGGATGCAGTGTCCCTGTTTCATTCTAAATAGAAAAACAACAGTTAAAAGCATATGAACCCAATTCTTCCATTCCTTTGTTGGTCACCTGTAGGTAATTCAACAGTACTCCCATGTTCCTCCAGTTTGCTCAAGCCAAGCATGGTAACAGTAGACAATACTCACTCTAGCAGGATGCCATTAATATCCTGGGTGAAGAACTTTTGTCTGCTCTCTCCCTCAGCAGCTCTGGCAGCCTGTTTACAGCAGACAGTAACAGGCATTAGTGCCCTTTCCCCATGCATCCCTCACACTCACCCTCAGACATAAGTCATTGCTCCAAAAGAACACCTAGTGACAGAATCCTCCCCTCTACCTTCCTGACTCTGTCCCAGACCAGCCCCAGCCCCAGTCTCAGCCCCAGATTAAGGTCATTTGTGATCTTTACAAAGCTGTTACAGCATCTGTGAACTGAGCTTCCTGGGAGCTACAGCAGTCGTCACAAAACAGTACAGATACACAGGGTCAAGCAATCCCAAGGCATCTGGTCAGAGATCAACTCTGCTGGCTATCCAGCTTCTGTGTCCAGACTCTTATCAACTACGCTGTGAGTTGGGATTTCTATACTGTCAACAATAGAAAAGCAACTAAGATCCTGAACAAACCTACAAGATTTAAAGGCTTTTATATACGAAAGATGACAATAAGAAGTACTATACAAGCTTTAGCATTTAAGGACATTATCATCCTTTGAAAATTTATGATATACTTATGGTATCTCACCAACCCTATCACCCAGACCACTGAACTAACATGCCATGCCTGAGATGACACCTGGGAGAGCAAGCCTGGAGAATCTTGAAGCTGCCACAGCAGCAAGACCTGCGGGTCAGACCTGGAGGTTCTCACACCTGGAGGTTCTCACACTTGGCTGCTCATAAGCATTACTGGGGCAGCTTCCCCCACCCCAGGCCAATCACACCACAATCTCTAGGGTCAGAACTCAGGAATGTATATTCTTGAGAGGTGGCCCAAGTATCAGATCTTTTTCAGTGTAACTCTGGTGAGTCTAATGGGCAGAGAGGGTTGAAAACTAATGACCTAAACAAAAGAGATGCTGACCTGAGAGCTTAAGGCAAAATACAACTTTTGAAATCAGACTTTATATACAATAGTGGTAACAAGGTGACTCTCTGGAAAAGATATATAAATCTTACTCTTCTGTCTTCCTCTAAATACAACCTTGGGGTTCCTCTAGCCTCTCTGACCACTCCGTCTACCTGCTCAACAAGGTCCTTTTTGGTAGAAGACCCCTCCAGGGTTCTATCTATAGCTCTTTTTTTCCAGAAACAGAGTTCAAGGGTTGAGGCTGACCTTTAACTCCTGATCCTTCTCTAAGATTAGAGGCATCTGGTCAGGTGTGGTGCTATCATGCCAAACTAGTAGAATTTCTCCCAAAACTTTTCCCTCATGGCTTCAAAATAATATGTACACATACAGGCCCCTGAAATACAACCCTCTAGGCCCTGAACCCTCACTTCCAACCTCTTGGCCAGTACTTCCAATTACCTCTAGGTCATTTCCAACTACTTCTGTGAAAGGTTAACTTCTCATTAGCAAACTAAACTTATTCAAACTTAAGTCTGTTGTTCATTTTCTTGGCTTCCTACTCTTCTGTAATCTAGCCTTCTTAAAACCTCCTACTTAAACTTCCTTAGAGCCTTTCAGGGTCTTTTCCCAAACCTAGATTCAAACCCAAACACCTTCGCATGGTGCATACGGTCCTCCACCATCTGGAGCTCTCATCTCCTAACGTACTGAGGGACCCCCCCCCACCCCAGTCCAACGACTCACCCACCCTCAGCTCTGCCCTACCTTATGACAAAGCCATCTTGCCCACCAGACTAGTCTGGCCAAGGCTGTGGTCTCCAATCATAGGTATCCTCAAAGCTGCTCTTTGGCTTCCTTTCAGTCTGGCTATCCACCTAGCCATCTAGGTAGCCATCCAAACATAGCAAAGGGTATTTCATTGTTTCCTCCTACAGTCTATTGTCTGTTTACACAAGATCATAGAGGATAAGAATTAACTCAATCAGCTGAGTGACTGGGAGAATGAGAACAAAAAACAAATGCATATTATGATTGTAAGAAGGCAAACTAGATGAAGAAAAGTTTAATACTAACCAGAAGTAACTTTGGAGAAGCTATACAAAATTCAAGCTTTTGGAGATGCCTCGGCTGGAGGATAGCCCAGAGGCCACAGATGAAAAGCGTAACATGGACACTGGATAATGGGAGAAAGAAAGGGTGTGTGCATTTTATTTTTTAATTTTACCGACTTATTCTATTAATTTTTTAAGACAGGGTCTTGCTGTGTATCTCAGACCAACCTTGAACTTACTAGGTATCCCACATTGGTCTCAAACTTGTAATCCTCCTGCCTGCTAGGTGCTGGGATTATAGGCATTAAGCTACCATGTATGCCTAAGGTCATGTGCAATTTCTTTTTTTTGAGACAGGGTCTCCCTGTGGTCCCAGCAAGCCTGGAACTCACTATGTAGACCAGGCTGGCCTTGAACTCACAGAGATCCGCCTCCTGAGTGCTAGCTGGGATTAAAGGTGTGTACCACTATGTCTGGCTATGTGCAATTTCTTATACTTTCCAAAAGCATTCAGAATTCTACCTGGAATCTTTTCTAGGGTACTGGAATTCTATTAATTTAGGGATTTTTGGAGGGTTTTGTTTCTGCATTGCTGGGGACAGAACACAGGACTTCATGTATGCTATTCAAGTGTTCTACCAGTGAGCTATTGCCCTAGTTAGTACTGAAAAAAACAAAACTGAGTGATTCTGTCATATGATCCTACATGTGGGTGCACATGTGTGCTGGTAGGCATATGGACTAGCAGGCCACCTTAGCTGTTGTTCTTTAGGAGCCATAGCTTCTTGGAGCTGTTTTGTTTCTTTTTAAATAATTTATTATTTTTATTTTACGTGTATGCGTGTATTGCCCGCATGTAAGTGTACCTGTGTTGTACAATGCCCAAGGACGACAGAAGAGACTGTAGGATCCCCCTGGAACTGGAGTTACGGACAGTTGTTAGCTGCCATGTAGGTTCTGGGATTCGAACCCAGGTCTTCTGCAAGAACAGTCAGTGTTCTTAACCACTGAGCCATCTCTCCAGCCAGGAGCCATAGCTTCTTTTACATGGGTTCTAGGCACCATATTCTTGTCCTGATAAGCATGTAGCAAGCACTTCCCTGACTGGGCTTAGTCATTCTCTCTTAAATTTATACTGCTAATTCTAAATCTAAAAGTACCTATAATTAATTCACTCTCATTCCTTAAACATGTATTTCAAATGCCCCATTGTTTGTCAGACCCATCAACATTTTAAGTTTCCAATTCTTCTTTTTCTTTTCTTTTTTGAGACAGAGTCTCAGGTAGCAAAGGCTGGACTTGACTCTTTTTACGTATGTGTGGTGTCTGTGTGTGTGTGGTGAATATGTGTGTGATGTGTGTGCACATACAGAGACCAGAAGAGGGTGTCAGGTCTCCTCAATCACTCTCTGCCCTATTCCTTTGAGGTAGGATCTCACCCTGACCTTGGAGTTCACACTTTTGGCTAAGCTTGCAGCTAGCAAACCCCAGTGAACCTCCTGTCTCTGTCCCACCCCAAGGGAGCTGGGGTTACAGCATGAGAAACCACACCAGCTTGTTAGGTAAGTTCTGGGATCTGAGTTCAGGTGCTCATGGTTGTGCAGCAATTGCTCTTAACCAATGAGCCATATTTCTAGCCCCTGGCCTTGAACTCTTGATCCTCCTGCCTCTACTTCCTGAGAGCTGGGATTAAAGGCAGGCACAAATTTTATTTATGGGCACAAATTTTATTTTTAGAAATCAAGTCATTTCTCTAATCCTGCCTATATAATTTTTATGTTTCTTTCTAAAGTCTTTTAAACTGCAAAGGCAATATTTGGAGGGTCTGGTTTTATGCTGAATTACTCAAGTGCTATATTTTTAAATAAATATAATTGAAAGACCAGCTGAAGCTGGGTCTGATGGCATACACCAATAACCCCAGTTGCTCTGGAAGCTGAGGCAGGAGGATTCCAAATTTGAGACGAGGCTGAATAACTCAGTAAGATCTTGTCTCAAAATAAAGTAAAGGGCTAGGGATGTAACTCAGTAGTATAGCACTTGCCTAGTATACACAAGGCTCTTGGTTCAATCCCCAGTGCCAAAAAAACTTAAAAAAAAAAAAAATTTAAAAACATAGACATGGTAGCACAGGTCTGTAATCCTGGCATTCCAGAGGCTGAAGCAGGAGGATTGTGAATTCCAGGGTAATGTGGAATACATACATAGTGAGACCTTGTTTTTAAAGAAAAAACAAAACCAAAACAACTGGGTATGTACCTGATTGTCATCCAGAAATAAGTGAGGTCCTCCTCACCATTAAAATATTTTGTCCTAGGAGCTATAAATAAATCAATTCTTAATTAACCAGGAAATTAAACACCCTGGTCATGGTGATTTATAATAGTTCCAACAGTACCTCCACCCCCTTTTAAGAGATTAAAGGTCTATAGTGCCCAGGCTGACCCTAAACTCTTGGGCTCAAGTGCTCCTCCTGCCTCAGCCTCCTGAGTAGTTAGCTAGACCACAGGCACATGCCATTGTGCACAACCTATAACAGCTTTTTAATAAGCTGCTTTATTTATTATAAGAAAAAAACATGACCCAGTATGGTAGGACATACCTGTAATCCTATCACTTGGAAAGTAGAAAAAGGAGGATTAGGAGTTCAAAGTTATCCTCAGCTACTCAGCAAGCTCAAGGCCAACCTGGGCTACATGAGACCCTGTCTCAAACAAAACAAAACCAATTATAGCCTTTGAGTACCTAACTCAAAATTGTATATACAATACCTGCTTTTGCATTTGCTGAATAGAATGAAATCTGGTATGATTTTCTTTCTTTCTTTTTTTTTTTGGTCTTTTTGAAACAGGGTCTCCTTGTAGCCCCAGCTGGTCTGGAACTCACTATGTAGACCAAGCTGGCCTTGAACTCACAGAGATCGGTCTGCCCCTGCCTCCCAAGTCCTGGGACTATAGGCGTGCACCACACACCCGCCCAAGTTTTCTCCATTGTATTCTCTTTAAATCCCTCTCTCCCTGGCTTTTTGGTGATACATGAATTTTAACTTGACAGTAGAGGGGTAAATGCTATGGGATCTATTTCTTTTCTTTCTTAGAACATTCCCACTTACATCTGACTGAAGAGAAGTAAAACAGACTTGAGTTGTCTGTATGGCCTGGGCTAAGTGGCTGCTGAACCACATCAAGACAGTATCCTGAAGGGGTGTCACCCTGAGCTCTCTCAGCATCTATATGGTCCAACAAGACAAAGGACACAATCAGTATGCATTAGAGAAGACAGGGCAAGGCCACCAAGTCACTGAATTCCCTAAGACCCATGAAAATATAAACTGGGCTAACAGAAGAGAGTAGTAAGAATAGCCTGGGCATTGACCAAGGTGTCCCTCTTAAAGTACCTTTTACATACATTTTCAAGACATTTTGTAAAGTTTTGAGAAGAAATCAATTTCTTTGCTTCCATAAAGGTTTTCTCCTAAGGGATCATTATACTTTGGAATAGAATCTGTTATATATTGTGGTATACTGCAACCAGGACCACAGACTCCTTTATGGAGAACTGCTAGCAGAGAGGGCCCTCCTGCCTCCCTAGTCCTCAAGTCTAGACTGCTGTTGTGACTCACATTGACCAAGAGCATGTCAGAAGCAATGTGATACATACAATCTCTATGGCTAGACTTCAAGGCCCTGCAGCTTCCACCTTCACCCTCTTGAGATGCTAAGACTGAGACCACAATATCCTGTACAAGTCCACAACAGGGAGGCCTAGCCAACATCCAACCAACATGCTGGCTGAAAGCAGTCACAAGGGTAAGCCCAGGCAAGAACAGAAAAGAGCCAGTTAGTCAATCCAGTCAGGAACAGTACGTGACTACTAAGTCCAAATTTGGGGGCTCTTTTAAAAATTTAAATATTAGAAATAGACGTGTATCTCATTTAAAGCCAAGATCTAAAATCTATCCTAAATAATCAATCTCATTCTAAAAATAATGAGGAAAAAAAAGAAAATTAGGGAAGTGATACAGTGAGAAATACCTCTGCTGCCATGCTCAACCGCACTCTTTTTTCTTGTTCTTTTCTTTCTTTCCTCCACTGAAAGCCAACTGGTAATTCCTCTCCAAATTTCATTTTTTTTTTTTTTTTTTTTTTGAGACAGGACCTCATGCAACCAGCTATGTTGCCAAGGATGACCTTAAAGTCCTCATTCTCATGCCTCCACCTTCCAAATACTGAGATTACCAGGTGAGTGTCACTATGCCCAGCTATCAAATTTAATTTTGAATGCCATGTTCAAGATCTAGCACAAATTACCTTATTAAGGCTCTAAATATCAGCATGTGGCTTTTAGAATTCTAAGAATGTTCTGTGTACAAATGCATTCTTCCCTGGGAAGACTATTTTCCAGCAAGTTGTCAACAAGGCCTGGGCATCCAGATACCCATGTACATATATGAAGGGCTCCAGGTACAGCCATACCCAGGGTCCTAGTCAGAATGGAGCACCTGTAGCACCTCTGGAATGGTATTAAGTAACTTTCTAAAATAAACCTTGTTAATTCAGTCATTAAAAATAATGAAGTCTGTATAACAATATTTATTAGGTTGAAAGATTTGGAAACAATTATTCACAACTATAATCACAACTGCATAAAAACATACATACTTATGCTATAAAGGAAAATGCAAACTGAAACTTATTTGGAGGAGGGTTTATTTATTTATTATTTATTTATTTATTTATTTAGAGATAGGGTCTCATGTAGCCTCTACTGACCTCAAGCTCACTAGTCAAGAATGATCTTGAACTCCTGATCCTCCTGTGTTTACTTCACAGTGTTGGGACTAGTCGTGGACCACTACACAAAGTTTATGTGGTGCCAGGGATTGAAACTAGGGCCTTGTGCATACTAAGTAGGCACCAAATGAGCTACATCCCCAATCCTTAAATTGTTTTTAGATGTCCACTTCATACTTTCTCCATACTATTGTGAGAGCAGGACCAGGTAAAGATGAAAGTATCAATTTTATACTTGAACACTGTAATTTCAATACAGAACATCAATCTCTAGTCACCACCTCCCTACCAAGACCTTGCACCACTTTTCTGTGGGATCCTGAACTCTGTCATGCCCAAGAGCAATCATTTAGGAGAGAAAACTTGCCAAATGGCATGTCTTCCCAGGATGGCTTTCCAACACTGTTTCAGGCTGTGGCACTTCATTCCCACTAAATGTGTTCCTATCCAAAAAAGTGAAATAACAGGCTACTACTTTGACCTCAACCCATGGTAGAAGTGATGGCATGCCCCAGAATTCTGACTTTTCTGTAAAATAAACAATGTTCTATTGCCATATAGTCCTACTTAACTTATTTAATAAGACTCCGAGAGACTATAAAATAATTTGATTACAAATCAAAGCATTGAAAAGAACAAGTACTTTTTTTTTAACATGAATTCTGAGCAAATACAGGATAGTATGTTCAAACATGCCAAGTACAGGTTCAACTCCTCCCACTTCATATGATGTATATTAAGATATACTCTGAACCCCTGACATGGCATAATTCATTAAAACATTATATTCAAGTAGGACACTTATGTCCAACACTGCACAGAAGCTAACCAGGATGAACTAGAGATGTGAATAAGGTGTTCTGTTCACTTTCTATAGTGTGTTCAAGTATCTTCTGGAAGTGAAAACACCATTTGTAGCTGTTGCTAACATTTCACCCTGCTCCGAAGCATGGATTATATGACACAGGGACTATGAAAATGCTATGAGAACCACAGGTTCAAGACGTACGCCTCTTGAGCACAAATGCCCCTGGAGCTATAGTCCAAATCACAGTGCCTATTGTAAAATGTTATTTCAACCAAAGCCAATGTCATCAAAACTAAAGATCCATACTTGACTCTGAACTGACAGTCCTTAGCACTTAGGGACCAATTCCAAACACTAGGGGAAAACAGCAGTGTGACTGCTCCATGTTAAAGGTTGCTTGCTGTTGTGAGAGGCAGGAACGGTGCTCAGGTAAAGTTCCTACTTGCCACTATGTAGGTATACCCATGATCACTACTGACGTACTCAACTGAAGGTAGTATCTAAAACCCAGCAGCAGCTAAGCATGTGCTCTGAGTCCAAACATGTATGTTTACAAACCAGGGAATCTTCAAAATCTTTGGAATACTAAGAAGATAAATATCTGTCCCAGCTGCCTGCTGCCAACATCAGGGTCAGTCTATCACAAAAGTAAAGATAGTGTGTGGGAAAGACACAGAACAAGAGAAAAATTCCCAAAAAGAAAGCAAAATTTCCAGAAGTGAAGGAACCAAGAATGTTGAAAAATGAAGCCTGATAGGCAAAGTCCACACTGTTTCCTCCCTCAGAACAAGAGGCAAGCTTGGGAAAAGCTTATACTTTCACTGCCAAGACACTAAAGGGTTTCTTGGGCATCAAGCTTCATGCAGTGCAGAACCAACACACCAATCTGCCCAAACTGCTTCCAGGAAAGCCCAGACACACTATGTCACCATACCTGAGCCAGTTCCTTAACGCGCTTCTCCAGGGGTGTTGGTAGGCCTTCAGGAAGGGAAGAGGGCTGCCTGAATTCCTGGTCCAATCCCACCCCAAGGGAATCACTTCCGTCATCCATATCTCGGAAGGGGCTTCCTTCTGGAGACTCACTGAGCAGCTGCTCCAAGTCCAAATCCGTCAGCGAATCCATGGCAGTGGCAGCTTGGAGCAAGTCATTGTCAGAAGTGGAGCCAAAGAGTGAGAGCAACGGGTCAGAGGTACCCTCCAGTTCCCTTAGGCCCTGAACTTCCGCTGATGACACAGCTACAGGCTTATGCTCCTCCTCCCTCTTTTTTTGAGCCTCTTTCTCCTTCTGAAATTTCTTTAGCATCTCTTTAACACTTAATGCCCCAGAGTACTTCTTCTTCTTCTTCTCCTTACTGGCATTGAGGGCTGTGAAGCTGTAAGTAAGAAGGAAACTGGTCACTCAGGTGTAGGCCCCCCATAGGAAACTCAGAAGCCTTCAGTCCTGCTCCCAGGGAAGGGTCTCCATGAGTCTTCAGTTAGTCCACCTTGTTATCATCATGCCTTCCTTCTCCTGGCATAAAGAACTCCACCTTGCTGGACCATAGCTTGAGAGGCAATACAGGTTAGCAACACAGTGTCATATAATGCTAAATATCCAATGGGTTGTTTTTTTTTTTGAGACAGGGTCTCCCTGTAGCCCCTGTCCTGGAACTCACTATGTAGACCAGGCTGGCCTTGAACTCACAGAGATCCACCTGCCTCTGCCTCCTAAGTGCTGGGATTAAAGGCATGCGCCACCATGCCCGGCTCTTCCAATGGGTTTTTAAGGACCACTGCTAGGCTGAAATAAAAGACTGCAAAAAGGGGGAGGGTCAAGAAAAGTATCACAAGAAGAAGGTAAGAACAGCAGCAACTTGAAGGCAGCTAGGGTGAAGCTGATTAAGGAGAAGTAATCACAACCATAGAAGACAAAGGAAAATAGAGACAGAAGAACTGGGACAGAGGAGTGCCAAGAGAACAAGGAACATGAGCAATCACATAGTGACAGAAACAGATGCTGACACTGACAGTCGAACAGAGGCACGCTGGTTATCTGACTGACACAGAGATGAGAGTGGATGACTATGCCCAGAATGGTCCTATTGTAGGTGAGAGGGAGAGGAGGGCCAGGCCCTATAGCCTCTTCTGAAGCTTGGGGAGGCAGGGGGGGCGGAGGGCAAGTCAGTTCCTGGGTGTCCTGCCCTCACAGGTCAGACTTTATCCTAGCAAAAAGCTGCTGCCTCTTACCCGGCTTTGGAAAACTTGGACTTTTTCGATTTCTTCTCCTTGTCATAAGTGTCATCTTTTTTCTTCTTCTTTATCTTCTCACCACCTTCCTTCAACTTCCGCTTCTGAGAATTAAAGACAAGGCACAGTTACACAGCTCCCTGAGTCAGTGAGCAAGTGCACTACACAGCACTGGCCTTGCTCCACGCGGGCACATCCTCAGACTGGTCTCATTCCTTCATGAACAAAAAAGCTCTCTCATCTCAAAGCAGTCCCTGGGTCACAACCCCACAGTATTCCCAGCAACAGCATCTCCAAGAAACAATCAAAGACCATGGTGGCTGTTATGAAGCCAGATGTGGAATGGGCTGTGGGTGGGCCTTCCCATTTTAAACATTAGACAATGGGAGGCAGACACTAAAATATGCTCAGTCTAAGGCTGACTGGTTTTCAGTGGGTGACAGCTGTAACTGAAGTCCTCTCCAAATTTACAGAAGAGAGTCAGCAAGGGTGGGGCATGCTTCTTTGATCCATACCCTTAAGACTCTCCCCACCCAGAGACCATTTTGAGACATGACCCTGCTGAGCCTATTGGAGAATCCTGTGACACAGATGAAACGACTATGAGGCCTGATAGTGCCCCCAGGAACTCATCTTGTTGACTTAGCTCTGCCTTTCCACCAGCCTCCTGAGCCACCCTAAGCCATCACACATTATCACCTACTGATCTCACAAGGCCACATAAAAATTCATTTCTGAAATCCAAAAGCAAGTATGTTCTAACCTTTGGGGATTTCTTCTTCTTTTCTTTAATGAAGTCATCCTCAGATTCTGAAGCTTGTCTAAATTGCAAGGTTCCTGAATTAATGTAAAATCCTCCATACTTTGTGGTCAAAGAAGCAGGAACAAGTTCATCATACTGAAAGGGAAAAACATACCATCAGCTGCCAGTTCTGGTTCTATGGTCCAAAGATACAAAGTGCATCTGAAGAGATGTGAATAATATTTTCTGTCACTCTTCAGACAGCATGCTAAGATACCCTTTCCCCAATCACCAATGTGCAAGCTACCACATGTTTTGAAGACAGGAGGTCATGATTTTCAATTGAAAAAAACAAGGCCCAGTGCTAAAGAGGGCACACTGCACTGTCCCAACCGCACTTCCCCACTGTCCATATCAAGCTGTCATTAACCACTCACCGCCTCAGAGTTATCGATGAAAGAATCTGACTCATCATAACCATACCCCATATCAATTAAGTCCTGGATTCGGTCTTTCCTACGTTTCTTTCCACCCTGAAATTTAAAATCAAGAGGTCACATGCTTTTTTGATAAGTACAGTGAATTAAATGTTGCCTTGAGCTTCATTAGCTAGCGATTAAAGATTGAAAAACACTATAAACTATCTCTTTCTCTCACACACACACACCCTTTCCCTAAAGACCTCTGAAAATAGGGCAGATTTATATCTATCTGCATAAATGGACTAAGTCAAAAGAATCAACTAAATGACTTTTTTGTTTGTTTGTTTTGTTTTTTTGAGACAGGGTCTCTCTGTAGCCCCAGCTGTCCTGGAACTCACTATGTAGGCCAGGCTGGCCTTGAACTCAGAGATCTGCTTGTCTCTGCCTCTGGAGTGCTGGGATCACGCTCAGCTTAAATGACTTCTTATGCTCTGTAACCAAACTCATACTCTGAAGAGTGACAGGCCCTGTTCATCTGTCCATTTAACTCATACACTGCTCCTGCTGCAGATTTCTGTGCCTTACTGCATCTGTTTAATAGCTGTATTCTGTTTCCTCTGAGCATTACTACATCTACTCCCAGATCACTGCCGACTACATGATTAACTACCACAGGAACATGCAAATGCCTGGAGACCACTCCCACTAACGAGGTTGTTTTCTTGCCCAACACAAAAGTCTTACATATTTTTCTTCAAATTTCCGTGCAAGGGCCTCCACTTTATGCCTTTCCTTTTCATCATCATTGAAAGGATCCAAGACATCTTTTTTCTGTAAAGAGATCATTCCACAAAAATAAGTAAAAAAAAAATAGTCAAAGAACCTTCAATGACTATCCAATAAAAACCGTTATTCAGAAAAGGCAAAACAGAATATATGCTGCCATCTGATCAGTTTATATTGTTTAAAAAAAATAGAATTTTACCATGTTTGGTGGCTCATATCCTAGCCTCTGGGGAGGGTGAGGCAAGAGGATCTCAAATTCAAAGCCAACCTGGCTACAATGTGAGGTCAGGGCTAGACAATCTAGTGAGATCCTGTCTCAAACTAAAACAAAACAGGGCTAAGAACCTACATCAGTGGTCCATGCATGTGCAAAGCCTTGGGTTCAACCCTACACCATACATCAAAAAAAAGGCAGTCGTGGTAAAACATCTATTTGTGAAAACATCCATTTATGCAATTCAAGAAAACTTGATGAAATACTTACAATGGCCTACCACAGCATTAGAGACTATGGGGCTTCAAATATAGCAAATGGCCTTTATTGGAGATGATCAATGTCTACAGAACTATGCAAAATATAGTAGACTCTTTTTGTAACAGTTTATTTTATGCACTTGAAAAATCTTAAGAACGGGTCCATAGACTTCATCAAACTTCCAAAATAGTCAAGGTTCAAAAGGTTAAAAACCCACTGAATATGTAGTAAAAGTTCTTGACAGTCATTCTGCCTTTAGGAAAGTGGCATGAGGGGTCTTGGATTTAGCTCCGTGGTAGACTGCTTCCCTCCTAAGCATAAGGCCCTGGGAGAGAGAGAAGGGGACCAAAAATAAGAAATAAATAAGAAACAAAAACCTAAAGGAATGCAAAAGGTAGTCTGAATAGTAGTTCTCAAGGTAAACCCTGATTAACAGCATCCCTATCCTTAGAAACATACCTTCAAGAGTCTACTGTGGCCTCTCATCCTCCAACCTCAATACTCATTCCAAGTATTTTCATGTAGTCTTCCAAAGTTTATTTCTACCCTATACATTTATTCATACATTTTTTTATCAAGTAAGTTTTTCTTGTTAGATTAATTTCTTGGGCAAAGAATTTTAATCTTAATAGAGATTATACTAAATATGCTGAGACTTCATAGTATACCAAAAAACACTGGATGCTTACATCAAAACAAAATCTCCAGGCCAGGAATGATAGTACATGCCTATACTCATAGCACTTTGGAAGCAGAAGCAAAAGGATAAAGAACTCTAGGCCAGCCTGAGCTACATTTTCAAGGCTCAATTTCCAACTTCATACAAATAAAGAAAATAAAATCTTATTCTACCCTCCTGTCTACTAAAACCACCTACCTAAAAGGATCAGTTAGGTGATCTACAAAGTGAACAAATACTGGGATATTACAGAACATACATATAAAACACATACCATAAATGGGTGGTTTTAAAAAACAGGTGCTTACCTGTCTCTTCTAATGTTTCTACAATGTTATATACAACTTAAATGGTTAAAAGAACTTTTAAAAATCCTATTTTTGGCCAGGCGTGGTGGGGCACGCCTTTAATCCCAGCACTCGGGAGACAGAAGCAAGCGGATCTCTGTGAGTTCAAGGCCAGCCTGGTCTACACAGTGAGTTCCAGGACAGCTGGGGCTACAGGGAGACCCTGTCTCAAAAAGACCAAAAAAAAAGAAAAAAAAAATTCTATTTTTAAGCACTACCAGATTCAATGTCTTTCATTTTTTTAATTATATTTTTTTATTTTATGTGTATGAGTATATTGCCTGCATGTGAGTGCACCCATGTTGTGCAATGCCGCGGAGGTCAGAAGAGGCCTTCGGGTTCCCCTGGAACTGGAATTAAGGATGGTTCGTAGCCACCATGTGGGTGCTGAGAATTGAACCCAGGTTTTCTGCAAGAAGAGTCAGTGCTCTTAACTGCTGAGCCATCTCTCCAGCCCGATTCAATATCTTTTGACCATTTCCTGGCTGAAGGTCCAGCTCTGTCTAAACATAGCATCCTGGATTTTTTTTTTTTTTTCTGGTCTTTTGGTCTTTTTGAGACAGGGTCCCCTGTAGCTCCGACTGGCCTTGAACTCACAGAGATCTGCCTGCCTCTGTCTCCCGAGTGCTAGGATTAAAGGGGTGCACCACCACGCCTGGCACATCCTGGATGTTATTAAGCTCTCCTCAGGTAAAAATCATCATGTTGTAACTTCTGCTACTTGTACTCCTAGAATTCTCCTATAATATCTATAAGCCTGCAGTTCCCATGAGGTTAGGACAATCTTTTCCACCTTTATATAGACCTCACAGTGCAATAGTGCTTCACACTGTAAGAAACATATGCTAAATGAATCAATGCACAAATATATCAGACTAGACTGGGGAAGGATGTGCCCAGGACCTCATGCATGACTATGGACACTACAGAGAAGATCCATAATGACTTAGGAGCTTTAAAACTGAAGTCCAGGAGTGATTACCCTAACATTGGATCCAAATTTCTCTGTGTGTTTCATGCATTTTTCTGCAATGTTGAAAGCAATATGGAACTCCCCTACCCCAGCTGCCAAAGGGGAGCTAAGTGAAATCAGAGCACTGGGGTGTTCTGTTTCAGTTGCCCTATCCAGTTGATTTACCAATTCTTGCTAACTGTCACTTCCTCTTAAGGAAGAGGAAACCATCCCAATTTCAAAAAAAAAGAAGAATTGTGAAAAGATTTTAAATTCTGCTCATCCTTCTCACTGGCCCTTATACAACAGGATATATAAGGTATAGATGTATTAGCTTCAATTCTACCAATAAAATCTTAATCAAGAAAAACATTTTTAGTGGGGTGTGATGAATACCTGTAATCCCAGTACTTGGGAGGTAGAGACAAGAATCAGTTACTCAAGCTATATGGCAAGTAAGAGGCCAACCTGGGCTATCTGGGTATCTCAAACAAAACAGAACAGAACAAAACCCCACATATTTTGTCTAACCAAATGTACTTTCTCCCAACAGCCCAAATGTGAATCAGACTGAGTACTTGGCACTGAGACACTGCTAGACTTCACCAACATGATCTCTTTCTACCCTCTGACAGCCTGTGAGCTAGGCACTGGCCTAGTACCTGTTCTGCTAAAAGCCTCTCTAGAGACCAAAATGCTACAAGTATGGCCCTCCTTATCTTCTCAGAGCCCAGCACAGTGCATCAGTATACAGCAGGTGCTTACAACACTCTTTACCTAGCTCCTCCTCACACTATACGATTTTTATCAACACAAAAAAATGCAAAACTAGTCTTGGTTGACAGTGGTTGCCTGTATGAGGTGGGGTGGGGGCCAGTGTTCTTTGAGGCAAGCAAGAAGCTTCTGGAATCCTGGTAAATGCAACACAAGTTGCATGGATGTGCTGTTTGTGGAGATATGGGTTCTTTTTTGTTGTTTTTTGAGACAGTGTCTTCCTGTAGCCCCAGTTGGCCTAGAACTCTCAATGTGGACCAGGCTGGCCTCAATCTCACATGCCCAGCTGCACTTTTTCACATATATGACATACAGTGGTATAAGTATGTAATCTCGGCACTTAGGAGGCTGAGGCAGGAGGATTTTATGTTCAAGATCAGCCTGAGCTACAGTGAGACTCTGTAAGGCTCAAGTTCCAACCTCAAATAAAAAATAAAATTCCTTTATTTTATCCTCCTATCTCTATCTACTAAAACCTATCTTAAAAATTATATAAATTTTTGCCGGGCGTGGTGGTGCACGCCTTTAATCCTAGCACTTGGGAGGCAGAGGCAGGTGGATCTCTGTGAGTTCAAGGGCAGCCTGGTCTACATAGTGAGTTCCAGGACAGCTACAGGGAGGCCTTGTCTCAAAAAGACCAAAAAGACTCCCCCCGGCCAAAAAATATATATATAAATAAAATGTTAATGAATGGGTAACACCATATTGAAGCTGAGTACTGGGTGCCGCTTACATTATACTCTCCACTTCTGTGTGTGTGCAAGCTGCATACCAGAAAGTAAAACAAATCTATCAGAAAAAAAATAGATCAGGCAGGTGAGATGGCTCAGTGAGTAAGGGTACTTGTTGCCAAGCCTGATGACATGAGTCCAAGACTTGGGATCCACAGGGTGGAAGCAGAGTTCTGACTCCCGCAAGTTTTCTGATTTCCACACATGCATGCCCAACACACAGTGATCAGGGAAAAAAAGAACAGTTAAAAAACATTTTAAGAAATCAATCTGATTTTCAGTTTGAAGTCTACAAAGCCAATTCTGGAAAATACTAATACTACTAATAATAGCTTTTTTTGGTTTTTTGTTTTTTTTTCTTTTTAAAGGTAGAAACAGATTTCTACCCATCCAGAGAAAGAAACTACCCAAGACACTGATGTTCAAAAGAGATGACCAGTGTGGTTGTCTTCATGTCTGTCCTTCCACCATGCAGACGGAACAAAGAGAAGCATCCAACACTACAACTGTCAAGAGACAGATCTCATCAATGTGTCATATGAAAATCTTGACATGAAAAAAAATGTATTGTTTATTTATATAATTAGCCAAAACTTAAATGATAATAATGATTCTTAAAACAATTCTCTTCCTTCCAGCCAGGCACGGTAGCACACACCTTTAATCCCAGCACTCAGGAGGCAGAGCTCTGTGAGTTCCAGGCCAGTTGGGACTACAGGGAAACCCCATCTCAAAAAAAATAAAAATAAAAAAAATAAAAAAACGACCAAAAATATAAATAAAATAATTCTCTTCCTTCAAGCCTAATGTTAAGATCAAGACCAAACAACCCTGTGCTTACTCTGGATGAGTGGCGTGATCTTGGGCCAGCCCAAGCCTTTCTAAGTCTCATTTTCCTGCTATGAAGGCCCCCGTGCATACACTGACACCTTCGTATTAGGTCTGCAAAGCAACTCTGAAACCGTTGGAGTGTACCTTGTCTCCAGGCTGAAGGCCTTTCACCTTCCCTCGGCTATTCTTCACCAGTTCTGGATAGAAGAACTCTGGACAGCGTTTGTGATCTGGCTCAAAGAGGGTGAGTGTAATCCGAACAGCTGCTGCAGCAGGCTCACAGTCCTGATGCTGATCTGCTCCCCCAACCTCCTCTTTCCTGGACTTCTTCAAAAATGCAGGATTCAGAGAACCTGGGAGAGAGGTGAACTGGACCCTGTGGGGCTCCGACATGGCTACCAACAATCTTAGCAGGTGTCACTGCATGGCTTCTGTTAACATTGAAAAGAAGAGCCAGGTCAAACCAAGATGACAAATACAGACATTTTCCTGCTCAATTATACAAATTTAAGAGAACTTCATCGTCAAGAAGAAGCCTTTGATAAATGTATTATAATTGCTATTTATTGTTTTTGTCCATTTAAGTAACCCATTGTAAATATAAAAATTGTAACTATTTTGGACATCATCTCAAATCACATACTTTTAAGGCCAAATTAGTCTCTTTTTGCATGTGACTCCTCTCATTTCTTCTATGCCTAGAAAGTCCTTTCTAATCAGATCTTATAGAAGAAATAACCTATACAGCCTTTCATAGATTTTTCACTTTTAAGTCCAATACTGTTGAATTTACTATGCACTATGGTGTTAGGACAGGCTCTAATTTGGTTTTCTCCAGCACTAATCATTGAATCATCTTTCCCTTCCCTGCTGATTTGGCACACACTAAAGCAGCACCCCAGATACTTAAGGTCTGTCTAAAAGACATCTGTTACATTAATAAGTACTTGAGCGATTTTTTAACCAGTACTGTGTTGAAAGGTTTATGACACTTAATATTTTGAATTCATATTTATTATCCTTCTTTTAAAAATAATTAGCTTTTCTGACTTATTTCAAATCAATTTTAGAACCATTTTGGAAAGTCTCTACCAAAATGTGGCCGTTCTTTGCAAAACGAATAAAAAATACAAATTAATTCAGAAAGATTTGTATATCTCTACACATATGTAAACATATTAGTATATCCAATATTCATTCATTTTATTATCACCATAAAAAAACTGATGTAAGACCAGGTATGGAAGTAGAAAATACACAAATGAGTTAAAAATCATTCTAATCAGGCAGCAAAGTCATAAGTGGTGAGACAGGTTGGCCTGTGCATATTAATTACCAACATGAACTAAGATGCTGGAATACAGCACCCTAAAAGAAACTTCCAAGGGCCTTAGGACGCTGCTGATGCACCCGGCTATGAAAATAAACCCCAAAAGAATGCTAAAGGCTTACAGGTCCCCCACCGACAGAGCAGACACAATCTTATAAGAAAGCCTATCAGGGATCTGGAGCGATGCTGGCTCAGTGGTTGAGAGCACTGGCTGCTCTTGCAGAGGACCTGGGTTCAGTTCTCAGCACCCACATGGCAGCTAGCTAACAACCCTCTGTAACTCCAGTTCCAGGAGTATGTCTCCATGGGCATTACATGCAAACACTCATACACATCAGGCAAACACTCATACACATAAAAAATTAAAATAAAAAAGTTTAAAAATAAAATAAAATAGCTGGTCATGGTGGCGCATGCCTTTAAATGCTGGCACTCAGGAGGCAGAAGCAGGCAGATCTCTATGAGTTAGAGGCCAGCCTGGTCTATATAATGAGTTCCAGGCCAGCTGGGGCTGCAGGGAGACCCTCTCAAAGAGAACAAAAAATAAAATATAAAGGGCTGGAGAGATAGCTCAGTAGTTAAGAGCACTGACTGCTCTTGCAGAGGACCCAGGTTTGATTCCCAGCACCCACATGGTGGCTAACGGGTGTACTCACACACATTCAGGCAATACACATAAAATAAAAATAATAAAATATTTTTTAAAAATAAAATATAAAATAGCTAAGTATAGGCTGGGGATGTAGCTCAGTAGGATGCTTTCCTCACATGTATGAGGCCCTAGGTTCAATCCCTACACCAAATTAAACCAGGTATGATAATACACACCTGTAATTCCAGCACTGGGGAGGTGGAGGCAGGAGGATCAGAAGTTTAAAATCATTGTTGACTACATAGCCAATTGAAGGCCAGTCTGGACTACATGAGACTGTATCCAAATAAAATAAAATAAAAACAGTAACAAACCCACAGATAAGGTTTTAAATATTCTGAATGAATTAAATGCTATTTGTATTCTACAGAGAAAAACATTCCTCTTTTTAAAAAGTCTAATTATGCAAAAGCCACTGTATCTCCAGGTAGTATTGGGACTGGTTTGTTAAAGTAAATACATTCTCGGTAATGATACTTTTGAACTAACTACTGATGAAACAGGAAAACTTGTTCACTAATTTTTAATTAGTCTTTCTTGAATTCTTATTTAATGGCTTTTCATTTCAAAATGGAAAGTTTTATTATCTACAGAAATGACAACTTGTCTTTCACTTTCTGAAAATCATACTGATTTTTGTTTCCTGTCTTATTGCATTGGCTAGAATTTTCAGGACTTCAGACAACGTATCCTTTGCTGTTCCGGACCAATGGGGATACCTACAGGTCCAGTTGCAATGTTAAGATCCACATTTTTAATCAAGTCATTACAACATCCTTCAGTTCCTCTTAAAATGTCATAATTTCTAAATTAAGAACACGTGTTGAATTTTATTAAGTCATTTCCTGTAATCTTAAATACACTTTAATGGATCGGTTTCTGTTTACAAGAACACAGTGTGTAAATGACTGTCTCTACAACTAATTCCTGGTACTTCAGGGAAACTGGTTTTCAGAGAAAAACAGAGATGGGGGGGCTCAATCCAGGGCACCCAGCTCCTCCACTCCTCCAACCCCCACAGCAGTTTACAACCAAAGCGAAGACCCCGCCTAGGGGAAAACGCCCACGGACCAGCCACCTTCCCAAGCAGACCAAGGACTCAAGAAAAATCACTAAATTAAGTCCACCCTTGACACAGACTCCCTGCGTCAGTCCCTGGGGGTGGGACTTTTTTGCAAAATGTCAAGCTTCTACCACATCTGTGGGTTTGGGCTGCCGCTGGGCCCAACACCAACCATCGGTCTTCCTGCTGTCACAACTTCTTGTAAAGTGTCAAACTACTTAGAAGAGCTAACGTGGGAGCTCCGCCCTGACCGCAGCACGCACCTTTGTCCCCAGCGCCGACGCGGGCCAGAAACGTCCCCCCGCGGCGGTCCTCATGCCGGCCCGGGACCGAGGCAGCACGGCTCAGCGGCCCGCTCTTAAGAGCTGCTGGAGGGCGCACGGAGGGCCCGCGCTACGGCCCATGCTGGGTCCCAGGCCGGGGCTGGAGAGAGCCTCTGGCCAAGTCGCTGACGCTCGCCAGCCCTGGGGGAAAAGCGAAGAAATGCCAAGTCCACGTCTGAGAAAACAAGTCGGGCAAAGCCGAGGGCGCTTGGCGCGGACGCCGCTCCGGAAGCCAGCCGTCAAGCGGGGCGCTTCCTCCGAAGGCTGGAGTTCCGGCCCCAGAGCGCGGGCTCGCGGGGGACCAGGGCCTCTCCCCGCCAGGCGCGTAGCCCCGGGCTCGGATCGAGACTGGCTCAGGCCGCGCCGAGGTCCGTCAGGGCAGCACCCGGGCGTCGAGACCCGTCCGCTGGGCACCTCAGGCTGAGGAACGGCCCCGGGCCCGCACCCAACTAACGGCCGATACGGAAACGTCAAGGAGGGCTAGCGATGAGCTCAGAGCCCCGGAAACCGGGCGGGTAGGTCGGCCGGCTCCCTCCCGCGCTCCTCCGGCCGCGCCGCCGCCACAGCCGCCGCTCTGGACAGCAGACGCTTCGTTGTCACGAGCCGAAGGGAGGGGGGAAGGAGCTGGGAGTCTTCAAGCTCCGGCGCGCTGAGAGCGCGGCGCCCGAGTCACGTGCCTCCAGGCCGTCCAATAAATGCTTGCAGGCGCGGTAACGTCAGCGCATTGGCGTGGCCGATGACAGCCGGGCCCCCGTCACGTGGTCAGGCCCACTCCAATGGGCGGTGCTGTGGCGACCTGCAGTTCCCGGCTGCCCGTGCGGCGGCGGTGGTTGGGTGGTAAGATGGCGGCTGTGAGTCTGCGGCTCGGCGACTTGGTGTGGTGAGTACTGGCGGCCAGGGCTGAACGTGGGGCGGCGGGAACCTGCCTTTCTTGAGCGCAGGGTTGGCGGCTGGCTCTGGAGCTGCTTTATTATGTGCTCCTGGCTGCCGAGAGTGGGGAAGACCAGCGTCCGCCGCGCTGCGAACGATGCTCGGGCGGAAGGGGCAGTCCGTTCCCCGGAGACCGAGGCCGAGGGGGGCCGCAGCGGTCCCGGCTCTGAATCCCGAGGCCATCCCGGGGGAGGGCTGCGGCTTCGGAGCTCGTATGCCAGGGACCCACACAGAGGGAACCCGGGTTCTGTGGGGCTTCCGGAGGACAACCGAGTCCCCAGGGTCTCTCTAGGGCTCCTCGCGCGGGATAGAGCTGTCCAAACCGATGGAACAGACCTGGGCTTGAGGCTCCACTCCGGGTAGCAAAACCCGACTGCACGGAGCTGCCGGGCGAAGAACCCGAGGGGGGTACTTATCCTTTGCAAACGAGGGCTTGGCGGTAACCAGTGCCTCTCATAGTCTGTTCCTTGTGTCCCCGACAGCCGCCAGAACCAAAACTAAGCGTTTTCGCCTTCCTGGAGCTGCGTAGTTTGTTTCCTGACCTAGAGGAAGGCTTGCATTAGCATTTGTCAACGCAAGACGGATCTGATGACTTAAACCAGACTTAGTTTGGTGAAGTCTGTTTACAAAGAGAACTGCCCCTAACCCTGTCAACTGGGAGACTCTAGAACGGTGACTGTCTACAGTTTAGTCTGTATTTGTCAGTGGAAGAATGCACAGTCCTCAGGCCCTCACACACATATATACATATACGTACATACAGTTCTCAGTCCATTTGGAAAGCTTATTAAGAACTCTGGTTCTCCAGCTTTTGTTCTGCCCTTTGAGAATACTAGCAGAGTTAGAAGCATAAATTGCACGTTGAGTGGGCTAAAGGAGTTGGACTGGCTTTTCCAGGACAAGTTCTGACTCTTTGTATTTTCTCTAGGGGAAAACTGGGCAGGTATCCTCCCTGGCCGGGAAAGGTGAGTGTCTTGCAACTGCTCAAGGAAGCTATCTGAAATTAAATTTGAGAGTGTGGGTGAATTGTATGGTGTTTCCCTCAGTTTCTGACATTGACCTAAATTTGGCCCATTCCAATAAAACTCGGATTTTTTTCCTCTGGTTATCAGTTGGTTTAGAAAAGATAAACCAGATTATTTAATCTGCAGTAATCACGGATTTCTTGAATCAGAAATGGTTTGTGAAACTTGTTGGGGTTTTTAATCTGAGAAATTATTTCTAATTGGAATATAGCTTTATGCTTAAATCTAACAAAAGGAGAAACAAATAGATTCTCCAGGAAGAGAGAAGTCTAAATGTAGGTTAGTGAAAAGCCAAAGTATTTTTGTCCCAACTAAGTTTAAATCTTCTTCCCCTGTTACCATATGTGCTTCTCCAGTACATCTCTGCAGAAGTTGGCATTCCAGATTTTGAGAGCAGTGATCGTCATAGCTTTGCAAATGTTCTAGTTTTATATCCTTGCTAGGAATCCAGGAAATGTCTGTAGACTGTTTGCAATATGGTGTTTCCTTTGCCTCAGTCATCCTTTATTTTCATTACTTCCTGCCTCAACTCTTGCTGTACCAAAAGTATTTTGAAGTTTCTTCATTGATCACATGTAACATGGGGGGTGGGGATGATGTTGAGGTTAATACTGATTGTATAACAGGAGCCATTGCAGTAAAAATGACAATGTATTTTCTAACAGTGTGCTACGTGTTTGCTGTAGGGAACTTCAAGAATATTTATACATTTCTACACATCTCAGTAGAGACAGACAAGTATAAGGCCTTGATTTCTTTTTTCCATCTCACTTAGAGATGTGGTAAACTTTCATAGACTGCTATGTTCTCATGACACTTTCTCCCCCTTTATCCTCCAGATTGTTAATCCACCCAAGGACTTGAAGAAACCACGTGGAAAGAAATGCTTCTTTGTGAAGTTTTTTGGAACAGAAGATCAGTGAGTAGTATTCACTGAGAGTGCATGGTGCCTTTGGGTGTTTCCCTGAGTCTGAGCTGCTTTGCAAATATTCTAAGGATCCTTAGTTCAGGCTTACTGTGGGGTATAAGAATGGCACATCATTCTGACCTCATACCTAAATAAAAGGTGCTCTTCTCATCTGTCAGAAATTATCCTGGGGCCAATAGCAGTGTCACTCAGGTAAGAACCAGAATTCATAACCTTCTACATATGATAGTCGCACTGAAAGTTTCTCACATCTTTACTTCATCAGCTGTTCCTGTTTGTTTCTCTCTTTCTCTCACTTTTTTTTTTTAATTTTTTTGTGGCCCTAGGGATAGAACCCAGAGCTTTACCCATGCTAGACAAGCCATTGACCACTGAGCTACATGCCTACCTGATTCTCTTTTAATGACCTTGTATTACAGTCTGTTCATGAGGTACACAGTGAAAAATAAGATGTTATTTAAAAGTAATTGTTTAATCCTATTCGCTTATAAAAGAAAGTAGACTGTTTTCCTTGTATGTGCTTGAGGTGGAAGAATCCAGGACCATTAGTTTGAGTCTTTGACCTTATGTAAGATCCAGTAATTTGTTTATAACTTTCTGATGCACTACAGCAAGGTGACTATCCTAGTCTAACTAGGTAGCTTGATTTCCTCTTTTGTAGAATATTTTATTACTTTATTTTTTGTGTATAAGTGTATTGTCTGCATGTATGTAAGTGTGCCCATGTCTTACAGTGCCCACAAAGGTCAGAAGAGGGAATCAGATCCCCTGGAACTGGAGTTATAGACGGTTGTTAGCCGCCATATGGGTGTTAGAAATGGAGCCCAGGTCGTCTGCAAGAGTAGCCAGTACTCTTAACCACTGAGCCATCTCTCCAGCCCCGCTTGATTTCTTTAAGCAGTTGTATTTGTATTTATGATTGTTATAGGAAAATGTTACTTCAGGTTTGAAAAAAGATTATTTTTGATAAATCTAACACTGATGGCTAAAATATTGATTTATAGAAAACATATTACATATGAAAGTCCCTTATATACTGCGTCACACATTCAGGAGTTTATGCATCAGAGTGTTCTTCCAGATTTCCGTTGACATAGTATGTTGACAATACAGATCTTCCCTTCCTCCATTTTCTTTTCATGAGCCAGTTTACCAGACTTATGGCAGTATTTCAAGAAAGTTGCTATCCTGAATTGTGAGAGCAGAACCTGTGGAAGAAAGACTGTTGTTCTAATGCCACAAAATTGAAGCTAGAGTATGCTAGAACACTTGTCTAGCATGTTTGCCTTGGGTTCAATCCCCACTACCCTTCCCCCCTCCCCCCACACACAAGGAAAGTGTTAATGCCATAGATTCCATAAAGAAGATTCTCCTGTTGAGAAAAATTGTGTTTTGTTCCCTTTGAGTGTACACTCCGTAGTGCTCAACACTGAAGGAATTTCTAGGAAAGTGAACTCTGTAGTTCTTACCTTTCAGGTGCACAGTGAAGTAACAAGACTTAATAGGTCAGCTGGGATTGTGTGCTGAGTGACTGATTCAGGTAATTATGAAAGGATTCTGAAAGAGGGAGAGGTCAGTGGAGAACAGTGAGGTTCAGGAAGGCTGATGGAAGACAAGACAGGATCAATTCCAGAGGATGAATAGAGTTTGGGCAAGCAAGATGATAAGGACAGTGTGGATCCTATTAAGCTGCATATTGTGGGAAGGAAAAGGTGCTCCCTGCCTGGGGTAACTGCTACTTAAGAGTAACTGATGCTAGGGAATAACTGAGGCAGTGGGATCAGCCATATTTGAGTGGCTAAATGAAGAATTTGACATGTCTGAAAAAAAAGAGGCGGAGTTAATTCAGATTACTTGGGGCCTGAAAGCTGTTGTTTGGTTTGGTTTGGGGGTTGTTTTTAAGATGTGTTTGTGTGTGTGTGTGTGTGTGTGTATGTGTGTATGCATGCACATGTATGTATGTACACACAAGGACAGGTGCCTACAGAGCCTAGAGGCATTGGATTCCCCTGGAGTTGGAGTTACAGGTCGTTGTAAGCTGCCTCACGTGGATGCTGGGAATCAAACTCAGGTCCTCTGGAAGAGTAGTATATGCTCTTAACTACTGAGCCATCTCCAGCTCTGGTTTGTGTTTTTAATGCTAAAAGCCTAGAAGGATAAAGTGATTTTCCTGTGTATAAGAAATACTAGAGCCAGGCGTGGTGGTGCACGCCTTTAATCCCAGCACTCGGGAGGCAGAGGCAGGTGGATATCTGTGAGTTCATGGCCAGCCTGGTCTACATAACAAGTTCCAGGACAGCTGGGGCTACAGGGAGACCCTGTCTCAAAAAGACCAAAAGAAATACTAGAAATAGGACACCGGAAATTGGAGTTTTGTTTCATAAACAAAAACACTCAGCCAAGCAGCAGGTGCACCCAGTAATAAAATACACATGCTGAACATATACATGATAACTTGCTGGTGTTGGTGGTAGTGATGGTGTATGATTTCTCATTGACAAGCTCTCTGGAATGGGTCCATAAGAAAGTGGATACAGAGCAACTAGTAGCTATAATGACTTTAAGCCTCTTTTGGTGGAGTTCCACATAAAAAAAAATTTTACAGTGGTTCAGGGTGAAACTCAGAGTTTGTGCTTAGCATTTGTGAGGACCTGGGTTCAATTCTCAGCAACCCCCCCCCCAAAGTTGAGACTCACTGTGGGACTCACATGTTATCTTTTTATAGGTAGGTAGTAAACAAATAATAAGGATTTACAGCATTGCTCTGAAGGAAGGTTGCTTCCCCAGTGCTCTGTGTTAAGGCAGGTTTATTTAACATCATTGTATTATCTGGAGGTAAGATCTCCAGATTGGCTGGTGGCAGCCCATTACCTGGAAAGAGCTCTGGATCTGTTACCTGCCTAACATGCATCAGATATGGGTTCTACCTGCTCTCTGATTTAGGCAAACCATTTCAACTCACTAAACCATCATCCTTGGCCGCATAAGGGACTTCTGTCCAGGACTGGAGTGGTGACTCAGCAGTTAAGAGCACTGGCTGCTCTTACACGGGACCCAGGTTCGATTCCCAGCACCCACATGGCAGCTGACAACATCCGTAACTCCAATTCCAGAGGATCCAACACCCTCTTCTAACTTCCGTGGGCATTACATGATGCAGGTACACTTTTACACACATGCAGGAATACACTCATACACATAAAATAAAGCTAATTTTTTGAAAAAGAGGTAGCTGGGCTTGGTGGTGCACACCTTTAGTCCCAGCACTCAGAAGGCAGAGGCAGGCAGATTTCTGTAAGTTCAAAGCCTGGTTTGCATAGTGAGTTCCAGGTCAGCTGGGGCTATAGGGAGACCCTGTCTCAAAAAAACCAAAAAAATAAAAATATAAAAAATTTGAAAATAAAGAGAGAGAGAGAATGCTATGCATAACCTTGTAGTTACTCAGGAAAAGCGGCATCATTTATATCCCATGTGGTTTGGCATATATAGCAGGTGTTCAGCAAATATTCAGTCAGGATATGCATCTGTTAAAACAGAGAAGAAAAGGTAACAAGAAATAGGTGACTGCAAGTAAGGAACATGAGAGACAGAGATTGCCCATGACAGAGAATGCGTCAGATAAGAATCTGAGTGGGGAATTCCTAAGGATGTCCTTGCAACCCTAAGGATGTATTATTTTGTGTTTAGACATGAAGCAGTGCATTGCTTTACCTCTATATAAAACTAATAGGCTTCACCAGGTGTACTGTGTGCAGTTTAGTTCTTGTTTCCCAGAGGACCAGATAGAACTAATCAAGATCCAGAGAAAGGGATCTGTTAGGCACGAAAGTCAGACTCTTTAGTGTGGGAAAGCAAAGACTGAAAAACAAGCACAGTCAGAAGTTATGAACCAGTTAGTGGCTCTCAGGAGTTCTGCAAGGGGTACAAGTGGAATGTTATATGACTATGTTTAGGACCAATACAGTGACTCCTTTATAAATTGTGCTTGGGAGGTGGTGTGGACAGGAGACAGCAAGTGAATTTTTTTAGAGATGAGCACTACTTACTAAGGGACAGATCTGTCAGTAGCTATGGTAGAAGCTGAGCAGCTCTTTCTTTAAAGCTAACATCAGGGATAGGGCAAATATGATCCTGGCCCATCCTGTGTTGAGGACTCCATTAGATTGTACCCTGGCCCAATGAATGTTCCTATATTCCCATGGCCTGTTCCTGTATTCCTAAGGAACATGGAATTTAGTCAGAAATACTCAGTTGACAGATGACTTAATGGGAAAAATACATGTAGGTATGATTTTTTATTTTAGCAAGGACCTTTATTAAAGAGTAAAGAGGTTAGCTCCTTGAGTAAGATATTAATATCTAATGATCCTAAAGCTTTAGACATGTACTTTTTCTCTCTTCCTTCTTTAATAAATTATGTTGGCATCCCACTATTACAAAGAGAGGACCATATCTAAGATAGAGCAAACCTGGATTTGTGTGGGGTATCTGAGTCACTACAGAAGGTGACTCTTCTAGAAAAATCTGATGTGGTTGATGATGAAGAGCATTCTGGATTGAACCATGTGAACATCACTTTTTCCTTATCACCTAGCACTGACCAACCCACTTTGTCTATATCCAATACTGTGTAATAGTTGGAGAGTTGAGCCAAGTATGTAATGAGGTCCAATATTCCAGATATTTGACTGACATAACCTGACTCTGGGCCAGGTCTGCATGGTAGATCTCCTGGAGAGCATCAGTTAGCTTCTCCTCCCCCAGCAGCAGGAGCAGCTCCTGTCCAAAGAGTAATTTCCTCAGTGGTTGATGACATGTCATGAATAAGCAGGTATTCAGTGGAATTGTAGAAACTGGTTGACAAAGAAGTGGTAGCCATTGCTTGATGTGGCGGCACAGCTGGAAAGCCTCATTTGGTACTTGAGAATGTTACCAAGTATCCTAGTTTGGATTCTCTTGCTGCAATAAACACCATGACCAAAAATAACTTG